AGTAAGCAATGGGAGAGACTTACGTTCTTGAATGGCATACTCTATAGGGTAATCAAAGACCCAATTGGTAAGCAGAAGAGATATCAATATGTCCTTCCCCAGAGTCTTAAGGCCAAAGCGTTGAATGGCATTCATGATCTTGCTGGACACCAAGGTCAAGCAAGAACGCTTCATTTAGCAAGGCAGCGGTTCTATTGGCCTAAGATGGAGCAAGACATCAAGTCCTATGTCAAATGTTGCCAAAGATGTATTCTCGCTAAATCACCTGAACCATCTGCTAGAGCCCCATTGGAGAGTATCAGAACTTCAGCACCCATGGAACTGGTATGCTTGGATTTTTGGAATGCAGAAGACTCTAAACAAAACTCTGTTGACGTGTTGGTAGTTACGGACCACTTCACGAAATTAGCCCATGCATTTCCGTGTGCCAATCAGACAGCTAAGCAGGTGGCCAGAAAGCTGTGGGACCACATTTTTTGTGTTTACGGATTCCCTGAACGAATACACACCGATCAAGGTGCTAATTTTGAGAGTGGTTTGATTGCAGAGTTACTTAAGTTGTCAGGAGTTGTTAAATCGCATACCACAGCATACCATCCAATGGGCAACGGAGGAACTGAACGGTTTAATAGGACCCTAGGAGCTATGTTGCGTTCTTTGCCATTAAAAGCTAAACATCAGTGGCCCCAGCAAATTCAGACCCTAACATTTGCTTATAATGCCACTGTGCATGAAACAACTGGTTTCCCCCCCTTTTACCTAATGTTTGGCCGCGTGCCAAGACTTCCTGTAGACGTGATGTTCAAACAGGTGCTCCGAGATCCTTTGGTAGTGGATTATAGTAGCCACGCCAAGACACTACTCTCTCACCTTCATGAGGCAGCAGCCATCGCACAACAGCATTGTGCCAAAGAGCAACAAAAACAAGCTCGGGGATATAACAAAAGAGTAAAGGGCACCCATTTGAACGTTGGAGATTGTGTACTGATTGCTAATAAGGGAGAGAGAGGGAGGAGGAAACTTGCCGATAAGTGGGAGGCAACCGTCTACGTGGTCATCAACCGGAACCCTCTGACACATACCTATGTGGTGCAAGATGAGAACGGAGCTAAGAGAGTTGTACATCGCAATCTCTTGTTGGACATCAGTTTTTTACCTGTTCAGATGGAACTTGGAGGAGCCAGTAATCTGCATCTCAATGAATGTGATGATGAATGGGAGTCCGTTGCTAACTCACAGCCCCAGGATCTTGCAGATTGTTTAGAGAGTGAAAGCTCAGAGAGACGAACAAGCCTTTGGGTGCTAGATGAAACAGAACATTCCCTGGGTCAAAGCTCTCAAAGTGAAACTGGATCTGTGCAGTTCGATACTGAGAGAGAACAGCAGAGCCAATGTGATGATTGCTTTGAGAAGTCCTCTGAGGATGAGTGTCATATAACAGAAACTTGTAATGTTCAGACGGACTGTTTCAATCTCAATAGTGGCAGAACTACTCCCATTATAGAGACAAGAGACATGTCTAAAACAGAACAGCTTGATCAAAAGACTGGAGACCGAGGCACTCAGGGTGTAAAAAATACTCAAGAAAGAGTCACACGTGCTGGTAGAGTGGTCAAAAAGGTCAATCGTCTTATTGAATCTATGGCACAGAGACAGTTAAACATTAAATCAATTACAAACACATTGGGTAGAAAGTCCCAGTCATTACTCACCTTGTTTTAGAGATTTATTTTATTGTCCAAGTTCATATCCTGTGATATACTCTTCGGATATAGCTTTATTCCCATGATTGTAAATCAATTCGTTTGACATGATCCATAGATGTGATACAATTGACTCCAAGATTTGTGGTTTGAAACCTGGTATGGTGTAAAAGGCATCATTTTATTCTGGGAGGTTTTTAAGGCCTGATCACCCATGAAATTCTCTCAACCTTTGCTAGAAGGTAGCATTTTTAAGCTGAAATAGGTAAAGAGATATTTTTGAGAATCTGGTCAAGTATGTAAGTGAAATTGATTAAGTCTTTGGGATTTTGGTGAATTCAGAAGGGGGTGAATGTAGCAGGTGTTGATTATAAATTGGTTTATTGTAAATTCACTCAAAATCCTGTTGGTAAATAATGTATATATATATATGTGAGAAAAGAAAAGAAAAATATTTATTTTATTTCTTTATGAGTTCCGTGCGCGTCGCCGTTGTGACATCACTGGCGCGCTGCGCGCTTTTGCTTCAGTCCGCGGGAGGTCTGAGCAGAGCGAGGTATGCATTTTGTTCAGTCTTGTTCAGAAGAGTGTTCAAAGGGAAATAATCACCAATTACTTGATCAGTGTTTTGTTATGATGTGCAAATGAGTTACATGAATGTGTTACCTTTTCTTAGAACTGAGTTTAAAGCCATTTAACTTGCAAAAGTGTAGTTTTAACCGAGAGAATGCAGTGTGACATTGTCAGCGTGAAAATTAGCCTGTGAAAGTTAGCCTATGAAGCGTGGCTGCTGATTTCTCTTTTTTTGTGTGAATGTTTAGCAGGAGCAGGCTTGATTGTACAACGAATAATTAACTGCATGGTTTCTACTGATGCAGGTACAGTTTCTTATGTGTTTTCATAATTTCTCTGTGTGTTCAAACTTGAATTGGTTTTCATGTATATACAAAATGCTGGAAATGTTGAATTCATTAAGTGAAGTCTTTTATATAACACATCTTCTGCATATGTTGTTACATTAGAATGAAGTTTCTTTATTAACTATTTAATAGTCCTATAACTTTTATTAGGGTAAAAAAAACAGGAGGACATGATGATATTTACTATTTTTACACACCAGAGGCTTTTAAATGAATTGTGAATCTAAAATATGCGTGTTAGAGAATGTACAAATGGTTAACATTGTTTGTGTCATATCAGTCAGAAGTTCAGGGCTTTTTTTTTTTTTTTTTATCTAACTTGGTTGTTATTCTTGGCTGAATAACTCTAGGTTTTCAAAAACCCTTTAAAATTAATTTAAAATTGTTTCTTCACACATGTGCTCACACATCCAAAGAAGGCACACAGAAAAAGTGATTTAAAACGCATCTGATTGACAGATAAATCATGGTTGATCTATCAGGCAGATGCACATAAAAAAGTATGCACTCTTATTTCAATGTTGTTGTTAATGTTGAGGTTATTTTAGCTTCGTACATTTAGTTTAACTACACGGTTAAAGAGGGCGGTTTTTACCATTCAACTGAATTGTGTGCATGTATTTTACACACTTACATTGTTCTTGCTCCATCCATGCAATAACTGTGTCCTTCTATCAACCGAGTTTCTATGTACTTATACTGCTGTGTAATATCAACGGTATGACCCATTTCAGGAGCTGACAACATTACGATTTAAAATCAGAGCATAGCTCACATTCATTAAAATATTGAAACGCTATGCTGATTCAAAACGACGACAACAGTGATTGACAGTCAAAGCAAAGCGCGGTTTGAACGCCCCGCCCCCGCAGCTGAACTGGAAGTTTTGATTGTTTTTTTTACCCGAGTCAGACCTGTCTGTTATTGGTTGAAACGCAGGGCTCCATACTCAAGAAAGTAGAAAACATTTAAAAATGTACTCAAGTACTGTAACGAAAGTATTTGTAATTAGTTACTTTCCACCTCTACATATGACACATTCACCGTAACACAAGGTATTGTTATTGTACATGTCTGGATATAATTATATATGGCAGTGAGACTGTGCTGTGGATGTGGGGTCTGGAAAGTCCCAAGATGAACCGTGTTATTGGGCATGGCAGTAAAGAAGCGTGCTGGCGCTTGCCTCCTGAACTGACTTTATCAGGTACAGCTCTCTAATCCAATCTCAGCAGCACATTGCTGCAGGGAGGTCGTCTGCTACCTTATTTGTTCCTGTGACACAGGATGTATTTCAATTTGTTTCACCACAGCAGTGGACGTAAAGAGACTGCGGCCGAGCTATACAGAAACAAAATTAGATTGGTATTTGTGGAAAATCACACACATACAATATCTGCATATTTTAGTTGCGCACTGACAGATGCTATAGATGTGCCTCTCGCCCTTGAGTTGCAGGGTTATGTTACAGTCCCTAGATACTAAATCAAATGCTTTAGCCTTAAAAAATATATCTCATGCTTCTTAAGAAGGGTAAGTGGTCATGCAAGGCCGGGCCATTAATCCACAGCTTTTGTTTTCTCTCGTGTACAGTAGTGGATTATTGAGGATTTGATTGGATTGCTTCATCATTCTGTATCTCACAAAACATGGATATTAGTGAGTTGAATGACAGAGACTGACAATTTCTTCACTGCCATTTTTGTTTAGCTAAGATGATGCAGATGATGATAATAAAATGTTTTTTATTGTGTGGTGAGACTTTGTTTTCATGTCATTTTGGCTTGCTGTGATTGACCGCTGCTGAGATATAGAAGTTTCACTAGCAACTGGCTTGTAACTAGAGCTGGATGAATAGTTATGCAAATGATTAGGGCTGCACGATAAATCGCATGCGATATTTAACGCGCATCTTATCAGTAAAGCCGGTTCTGTAATCAGCGGTAAATCTCCATCACCTGCGGGCTTTCACATTGAGCAGCATTAACTACACAGAGCCGTGTACTCATTTCCCATTAGTGAACCAAGTAGGTCCCACATGGGGAGCCCACCTGGGTTTGCCCATGTGGGACCTACTTAGTTGACCCAAGTGGGCCCCAGATAAGATGCCCATTTTGAGCCCATGCCCACTCTGTACCCCTGTAGCCCATTTGTAACCCATATGGGCCCCACAAAAACGTGTTGGCTGGGATTAGGCCAGACTTGTATCAGCTCTTTGGTCTTTCTCCTTACTGTGAAAAACCTCCATGTGTCCTGATCCACTCTAATCTTCCATTATTTATGTATGTCTGTAAACCATTAATTTCAACAGATGCATTCAGACTATTTCCAAGTAATGCTTACACTGTTATGTTCTATCTGAATGTGCTACTATTGTGTGTTGTTGTTTGTAGGTAATTCTGAAGTATAATTTCCATGACTTCACAACCTGTGTGAAGGCCTCCTAGTATATGACACAAAAATAGTAGATAGTAGTTTTTTTGCATAGTAGTTTTTCAAACATCTAATAGGTCACAAAAATCAAATCCATGTATTTGTTCCTTTAATGGTTTTTTAAAATGTCATGGGATATTGCAGTGTACATATTTGTGAAAAGTGCCATATACTGTACCTTCTCGAAATACTATGGTTGACTGAAAATTTACTGATAGGGATTCATTACAAACCTGTCTGTTAGTCTGTTTCATTTAAGTTATAATTAGAGCCCGACCGATATGGGTTTTTTGGGGCCGATACCGATATTAGGGAGTAAAAAAAGGCAGGTATCGATATATCGGCAGATATTCTTTGTTTATATTATAGTACAGTACCAGTCAAAAGTTTGGACACTTTCCCATTCGTGTGTCCAAACATTTGACTGGTACTATATATAGAATACAGTATA